AATCTCCATGACAGAAATATGTCTATCACTTCTTGATTTCATTTGAGTCATCATGGTCACAGATAATATATGCAGGGAAATGAAGATACAGGTCTAATATTTTTTTGATAGCAATTATATCAAAGAAATTACTATCTTCTTGATAGTAATTCTGGCCCAGAAGGTCATCGTTTTCCTTGTGTGCACTGAAGTGATGGGAAGGTARTAATAGAAAGTTAGTGCCAAAGGAATTATTTTTCCAGCTGGATCCCTTTTCCAATTATGTTCGCCGCAACAGTCACACAAATATTTGTACCAGCACAACAGGGAAGACTGGACATTTTCTCAAAAAGTTCAAGAAACACTTTACAAAGATGCAACTAATATGARTACAAAAACATTCTTCTAAATGTTGCTGAACTCCACCTGAGTAACCTCCCAGTTTTGATGGTGAAAGAAAATGGAACACAAGGCTGACTTGTATTTGGGACAAAGTATTTTGGCTCTGAAAACTGCTAATTAGATAAAATTATCTGTAGCACATTTCCTCCAGTCACTCCAGAGCTAAAACACAGGAGAAAGCCATACACTGCAACTGACTACTCTTGCTTCTGCAATAGTCTCCAAGTAATTTTCCAATGTTTGTTCTGGTTTGTTCTTACAAAGTAAGATTGACAAATGTATCAGCAAGGAAAAAAAAAAAGAATGAAAAATCTAATTTCAAGGGCTGAAGTGTTAACCTGTTGCTGAGGACTAGTAGGTCTGATTTGCCAAAAACTTTTAAGCATGCTGAAAGAGGTAATTTCCATTAATGAATCWCAGGCCTCCAAATAAAATGGACCTAATTTGTTTGAACTAAAGCTAATCAAAGAAACCTCCTTGCAATRGTCAGCTTCTAGGTATTAACCTTTCCTTGTTGCCTTTCTCTGTATCTTTTGTAGTCCACATAATACTTGCTAGCCAGAAGTGCATATAGCATGTATTCAAAATGGGGGCTCCCCAAAAAGGCTTATGAAGGCATATTATTAGTTTTCAGTAATTTTCTCAACGATTTCTAAAACTTAGCTCGACTGTCAGATGCAGCTATTCAAATCAGTATTTTCCTATCTTGCAGAATTTCACTTACTGAAGACGTGGATTTTTTCTGAAACAAACCTCAAATATGTTGTCTTCCCACTATACTTGGGAAGAAAAGGGRAAAAAAGAAATAGATAAATGTAGGTAAAAATAATTTTTTGTAGGAAAATAATAAAAATCAGTTCTTATTTACTTATCTTTGATCAATAGAAWCTTCATAAGAGGTATTTCCAAATTAGTAATCAGTTGCATAAATTCACAGTCTTTCCAAAGAAGTTAACAACATAGTCCATTCTACCTTAATGATTCAATAGAATGTACAGCCATCTTAAGTGTAAGGAAAAGACTCAAACCCACTAGAACCAGGTGCTTTTAATTAATTTTAAACAGCAAACATGTTGAGGGGAGAGGGAGTAGGAGGAACAACAAAAATAAAGAAACAAAAAACAGTCCTAACTTCAAAGAAGCCCTTTTATTTGTGGTGCTTTTTCTTCACTTATAGTAATATGCTTTCAGCATTCTTCCTGGCTTGAATCTACCAAGGAGATTCATTTAAATGCCAAATCTTGTATGAGAGGTGAAGAACACTGAAATCACTTACCAAGTATATCAAAACACCATCATACAGTATTTTTTGCAATTTGAGAGAGACGCCRCACAAAACAAAATGCCAGGTGTTTGTTCTCCAGTCTCTGGGTGTTAGTATATRCAATGTTATTTTTCCCCTTTATAAACTCAGAATAAGCTGCCCCTATGGATAGGAGGCTGCTTACTCTTCTGATGGAATTTGTAACCCACTTTGCATTATAGGGAAAAGGTTAATTCTGCTGAACAACATGCTRTGCCCTTTGGTATCTGATTTTATGTACCATTCCATGGATAGTTGGTTTTAACAGTTCATTTATTTTTCTTCAAGTGCAGATTTTGAAATTGAATATTTTGATGCTTTCCCTGGAAGCAGATAGCATCAGACCCCTTGTGTGAGGGCAAACACAGAACCACAAWGAGAACATCCAGTTAATACAAAAAAAGTCCATGAAAATGAGATTCTGTCTGAAGCATGAAGATTAGTAGATATAAAAAGGCAGACATTATAAAAAAAAAATATTCATCGAACATAGGACAAAACTATCCACTACAGAATTTTTCTACTGTCCCCAGGAGCATTGTTGGTAAGGAATCTCACTGATTCATGATGCCAGACAGAAAAAGCTCTGGGACCATTCATCACGTGCTAACAATGAAAAAACCCTGGATAAATAGCAAGGAATGTAAAAATAAGAGCCTATTTCAGTCTTGGATTCAGTAAATTCTCACAAATAATCAGGGAGCTACAGCAAGATAACATTAGCATTCAAGAGAACTCATTCAGTGCTTCAAACCCATAAGGGATCTCTAAGACCAGCAGGATGAACCAGTTCATTTATACTTATGTCAACACAGAATAATCCTATGAAAGGAAAAGGAAGTAGCATTTTATTTTACTTCCAGATCATTTCTGTTTGTTGTTAATTTTACTAACAATATCAAATGAATAGGAAGCATAAATAAAATATGAATCTGGAAAATAAAATATCACTTATTTAACAAAAAGAATGCAARTTCTGTGAAAGAGGAAGGAAATAATTTTAAGTAAGTTTCCTTGATAAAAACTCAAACATTCACATGGGATTAAATTATAACATCTCTATTGTTCCCTAATAAACACTAGGAAATAGAGGTCATTTTTCTACATCCCTGGTGGCTTGCTGCTGAAGTCATTGAAAATGCAGTAGGGATAAATCTTTTTATCCTATTTACAGTACATGTGAAGCCCAAGAGTAGTGCTGTTTGGTTGGGTTTTTTTTTAATGCACCATTTATCAATAGCATCACTAAACTAACACCACCACAAAATGACAGATACCAAACCTAAGGTTGTATATAATAAGAAAGGTATCTTATGAGTTACTATGAGTTACTTTTTCCTTTATTTGTTTTTTAAGAGGAAATGTGTACTGCRTGGCCTCTTCTTTTTCCGACTACTAGTTAATTGTCAAGAAATGAAAGACAAGGACAAAAGAAACTGACTTGCAATAACCACCGTATTTACCATATGAGAATAATCACCGTATTATTACTGCTGACAGTAATAATGGCCACAAAGCCTTACACAACAGAATATTGATGTGATATAGTTTCATTTAACTTCATACATCAGTGTTTTTCCCAGTAACACTGTTTATTATCTCCTGCGTCATTAGCTTCTTCTAAATTAAAACAAAAAAAAGTTCTTTCTGGTTCTTCGTGCAAGGACAGAAGACTTGCTAAACACTTCTCAACCTCTCAAATTATTTCCTTGACCATTGGAAACTTCATAGATAAAGTCAGTGGACAAGGACTCCAACACTGCGCTCACCAACACAAAAATAYAATTTGACTTATGAAGAATATACTAGGCATCAGATGAGAAATAAACAGGTTATATGAATATACATATATATATTCATATCTAATCATACATACCTTCTACATTGAAATCTGATTAATGCACTTATATGTATGCTCATAATTTAATAAAAAAAAGTTCAAGGCAGGGAAACAAGGCCATTAGCTGGTATGCAAAATTAGTATCTGTCATTCCATATTTTCATACATCCTGCATTCACTGATACAATAGTGTCTTTTACTGTCACAAGCTACAAGAAATAGAAGAAAGTTGAAAGTGGTACGATGAAATGTATCCATAAATAKCCACAACATTGCCTAGCTGTTTTTCTCCAAACCTTCTACAGAATACCTCACCTWCTATTCATTGCTTTTTATTCTTCTAATAGTTAGCTCATAACAATCTTTAACTTAAACTGGAAAGCTATTAATTTTAAAACATTAACTAAGAAATTAATAAGTGTTCTGCCAACCAACTTTTAAGGTGGTAAGTATAGAACAGTTACCTCATTCTTCCAGCCACCCACGAAAAATATTTGGCATGAAGCAAAAAAAAAATTGTTTTATGTATTTAGGTGTTATTCATTATGTAACTTTACTAAATAAATGTTATGACTTTGCCACTTTAAAATATTTATCTAAACAGGAATAGTGGGAGACCAATTCTGTGTTTTTTTACTTCTAGGGTAAGACAACTTTACAAACTTTTTTTCTGAATTGTTAAATTTGTTCCCATCTGAGTAATAATAGCTTTACCTCAATACCTCAAGCACCCATAAGAGGAAGCAAAACCAGAACAGACAGTCATTGCATGGATTTAAGTTAGTTAAAGTTCACAATATTTAAAAATCCACCTACTGACGTTAATTCTTAGCTCACTTCTTTATTCATGGTTGGCTTCCAARGACAAAAATAGCTTCACTGCTTACCCGGATTTTTTCTTTTTTTTAATGGTTGTGCAAAAATACACTTAAAACTTCTTTCATGAAGCTATATTTGAATACAAATAGAAATGAAAGCACATTGCAGATTCAAAAGGCATAAGGACACCGTACCAATGGATGACTCTGACAAGAGTTTCTCTGGGGTGATGAATTGGCTTTCTCTTATCACTTGCTTATCATATTCTTGGATTACTAGTATGCAATCACTGGAGAACACTCAAGAGTACTTCATTAAATATAAATACTGATCTACATCTCCAGTTTCAGCTCTTTCTGGGAAGGGAAAGGTATAACAGCATTCAAAGGTTATTTTGGGCCAGGGAGGTAGGAAATTGAGAGAAAACAATTTTTAAATCAATGGAAAGGCCTTGGTTGAAMAGCCTATTAAAAACTGCTGTAGTCTGGGCTAGTACATTTCTACCTTTGAGTAAGAATTCCAAATAATTCTTATGAAATACTTAACCTCTACTACACAGATAATTTTTTTTAAAAATCACTTCAAGTGGAATAAAAGAAAATACTACTATTTTCTACATAGAGGGGCCCAATGCAAGATTACTGCCAGCAAACTCACCAGTCGTCTTCTCTCCTCCTCAACAGCAATCARGAGACGAGCAAACTCCTTCAATGACTGGGCTGAAAACAAGAAAAAGAACATTCTGCTTAAAATGAGATTTTAAGACCAGGTGAGTATTTTATCTGGATTAAAGCTACAGTGWTCATATACTGCTCTTACATAGTGCTTCATTGTAATCAGTAGCTATTAAATGAGACACAGACTGAAGCAACAGGTCAAGAGCAAAGAAAAAGAACCCAAGCCTTAAAAGTCATGTGTATTTTAAAAATATTTTTTTTAAAGTGCAATATGACAAACTGAATTTCCCAAAACATGGAAGGATCAGTCTCAAAACAGAAGAATTCTACYATCAGCCATAAAATTTACTTTAGCATATTAAGAGAAGAAAGAAAATGCAAAGAAAARAATTGAGTGTCTCCCACTATGGTGCAGCAACAAGTATTTGTAAGAATGATGAAAAATATTTCGGTAAATATTTGAAAGTCAACATTTTAGAAGCAATGCCAAGTGTTTAGATTTAACAGCTCTTTGGCTTTATGTTTTACAAGGATAAGGTCTCAGGTGACCCAAACAGATGATTGATTTATAAGCTTTGAATTCTGGTACAACTGTGACAGAGTCTTTGCTCAAAACTGTTTTAAAATAGAAGTCAAAGGTCTGAAGCAGACTCAATGGAAACAGAATACAAGAATTAACCTCTAGAAGAGGGCAAGAAAGAGGAAAACATTCTGAAAACTTTTAAGAATTCATTCTCAYGTAAGCATGTGGTGCAAACCTGTCTAGGAAAAAATATTCCTTTCTATTTGTATTACTTTCTCAAGGGTAGAGGGTTATTCAGATTCAGCATCACAGTCCCACAGGCATCAATGACAGAGAACAATCATGTGAAGAGAGCTAAGTATCTCTTTTTACTTTCTCCTGATGCCACTAGYAATAATTGCTACCAATGACAGGATGCTACATTTTATGCTTTAAAGCGCTTATCTTAGAGAACAGATTGATCAATACTACTGTGTCTCAAAATAAACTTGAGGCAAATTCAATCATTTTGAAAGATGTAAAAAACAAAAACAGAAACAAAACTCATAGATTTTCTCAAAAGAACAGGCTTGAAAAMGTTTTCACAGTTAACCAACATACAAAGCTGAGGGTATGCTAATGGAACTCCTCCTCTTTTATTTTTCCATCTTCTTAAATGTTTTTACAAGATGTGTCAGTCTCCAATAATTTGGCTTTATTCCCTCTCGACTTCCATAACAGATTTAAGGAAATAAACACATTCTCTAGAAAGTACTGCAACAAATCCTTTTAAGAGGGAACTAATATCTGGCTTACCTTTACTGCCTTGCCTGCAGTCATGAACTGCTACTTTGTTTTTGGACCATTCCTGAATAATTTCTATCCTCTATATCATCTGGACCTTGCAGAGGTCACCCTTGCATCCTCCTTTCTCTCTGTTAACTTTTACATTTGAAGAACACTTTGCTGTTTGTTCCAATTTCTTCTGCAAGAACTTACATAGTCTATTTTTTGCAACCAGGTTTTATTTGCACATCTTGACCGCTAAGTCATTGTTTGCTGACCAATTCTTTTTTTCCCCATTACAAGTCCTTGATTTAGTCCATATAGACTTTGGTAAGTTAAACATCCATCTAACTGGGACTTGAGTCTTTTCCTTTAATGTTTTTCCCTGTGAACACAAGCCCCAGAAAATTTTTCCAGTTATGTCAATATCAAGAATTTTATTTTGATAGCCACTGAATTAACTCAATTTCTTAGGAAGCTCCTCGTATCTCATGGAAAAAAAAAATCCACAACAAAAACAAAATAAAAAAACCCAAACAAAAACCAAAACAAAACAAAAAAACAAACAAACAAAAACAAAACAAAGAAAAAAAAAAAGCCAGGCAAAGAAATAAGATAATGAACTGACTGGTTATACCTGACTAGGAATCTGCAAAGCATTACACTCAAGAATATCTAAGTACCCAACAATAAATGCTAAAAACTAAATAAAATATTACCCAGACAGACATTGCTAAACTATGAGGWAGTGAGGAAGTGTGTGTGGGGGTGAAGGTGGGGTGTAAAAAAGAAAAAAAAAAACCCCAAACAAAATCAGTACAAGAARCTTTTGATTCATCCTCCTAACTTGAAGCCAGAACCAGGGAGTTTTTTAGTTTCAATGTTGAAATGTTTGCTCAGGATTAAAATAAATTCAGGTCAGCCACAGGAAAAAAAAAAAAAGTTCTGTATATGTGCAAATCAATATTTTCTTCAATATTTAACAGTAATATAAAGGTACTAGCCTGTCATCTGTCATCAGACCCATCAGTGTGAAATGCAGCCCCCGTCCGTCAGGATTCTCAGGCATTACACATCAGCTTCACAATCTTTTCTAAATAATGCTACAACATTTTTTAAAATCATAATAGACACAGAAAAATTCAAGGGGACTTTGAAAACACAAAAGGGGTGGATGGAAGAAGAGTCAAGTATTCTGCAAAAGGAAGTGTCATGGGAACGTGCTGGTAAAAAATAAATTCTTAAAACACACTAATAATATGAAGTGCAATATGCAGCCTAATACTAAATATAAAGTTATTTTAAATTATTTTCATAAATARTTATTGTTATTGGTGGGCCATTTAAAGAAAAACAAAGTGCTGACTCAGCATTTCATGCTAAGTCATTGGGCAATATTGACTTACAAATTCCCAGCAGTTTTAGAGTCTGCTTTTKATTTAAGGGCTACTCAAAAGGACTTGTAAGATACATTTGATATCATGATGGAAACAATGCCTGTTTTGCTTCTTTGCCCAAGAAGCAAAAACAATTACATGTGTACCCAGATGTACATTTGTGGTCTCATTCATCACAATCACAACAGGTTGCCAGCTGCTCTCTCTGGAATGCTCCCAACTCAACAACAATGCACTGCAAAATTTCCCTTGGTCAGGACAAAGGGCTTCTACTATTTTATTTATAAAAACCAAAAAGCCACTCTCTTTATTTTTAATTCAAAGGTATTTTAATTAATTTGCTTGATAAAGAAACATACTAACAATACCAACAGTTTAAACATTAATGGTATCCCTATCATTTCAAACACATGGCATAGCTCTACAAACAACTACATTCACATAATCAAAAGGGAACTGAAGCTTGATGTAGAAGTAAGTGAATGTGGGAGAAGTAAAAAAAGGATAAAAATTCATTTATGTGAATTCATAGAATGCATTATCAAAAATATGACTCATTTACATGCTAGAAATCTGGTCTACTGCATTGAAATCAATCCAGTTGTCCACAGGGTAAAACAAAAAGTACATAATAAATCTTACTAAGTTTTTGCTATATACTTGTGTAGAGAATGAATAACCTTAAAATAGCATGTCTGTGGAAATTACTGAAGCTGCACTATGAACATCAGCCTAATAGTAAGGAGTACAATGTTACACTGTACTACTAAATGTCACACTCAATAGATATGACATCATCTACATTTCATGAGAAAAAGCTAACAAAGTGTATGACACATTTAACAGTTTTATATGACCAATACTGAAACACTCAACCCAAGACAGAAATGAAATGCCTTGGAATACAATACAATTGAATGTTCTTTTCTGTGGACTGTTGCTTTAAAATCCACTTATACATGCAGCCTTAAACCATGCATAGACTATTTTTAAATGCACTGAAGTACATGAAACAACATTTTGTAGCATTGTAAGCAAATACCACCACCATCTTCAGATATGTGAATGCCAGGATGGAAAAAATAATACACACATATATGTTGTGTGTTCTTATGACACTTTGCTGTATGAAAGGTAAAAATGTGCAAGACTGTTAGAGATTTCCTTACATCTTCCTGGTCTAACTGAGAAACTGCCAGGACTGTGTTGTACATTGCTCCCATTATTCCTTGGCAGGAAGGCCAGTCAAGTACGTCCTCCAGAACTGGTCATATCTAGCACAGACWTGCTATAGCAGGCTCCATATCCATGCTTGAGCATGAACTTAGCTGAAATCTAGAAGGAAGTTTTTTTTTCCCTGTAAGTAATACATCACTGAAATAGAATTCAAGATAGACCAATGRCCCATAAGGAAATTTTATAAGGATTAACACTTATTTACTAGACTTCCGTGAGAAAGCAGAATAAATGTAAGATCCATGAAGGCTGGGAGGAGAGACTCTCTTTTCCAATTCTAAAATTAAATATATYATTAAATAGTTGTTAATTCACAGTTTTCTTTCCAGAGCTTTTAATGATTAGCATTATTTTCAGCCACAAATGCTAGACAAACAGTTTTTCAACAAATCACAACAGCAAATAAAATTTCCATCCTTCTTTCTGTGGCTTCATGACATACTGAAAARGTATGTGAGGTGGTGGTGATGGGGAGGTACAGTAGGGGAAGAGTAGCGACAGAAGGCTTCCTATTAGAAAAAGCAAACATTTCAGATTAACACTGACCACAACAGGTAGGAAGAGACAAACATCTGCTTTCTCAGCAATTTCTACCTAACAAGAGCTGTGAATGTCATTAAAGCACAGAGGACCTGTAATGTCTATCAGAAGGTAATCAAATTGCACATCTCAAAATACCACCACTATGGCAAGTTTTCMCATTACCAAATGGAAATGCAGAGAGGATTGTCTCAAAAAAAGACTCCCAAAGCTTGCCATTCTCTTCGTCTTTCAATATGCTTTCAAATTWAAATAGAGCCTTATCTTACAGAACAGAGTTTTCCTTTACCAGTCACTACTGGGACTAATTTGTTGATGATCCTTTTTTTCCCTTAATTTTTCCTACTCTATTAAGCCTATAAAGCATTAAAAGTGTACAATCACGTAGAACTTTAAAGGGAATTACAGTTGAGTCCAGTGGGAACAAGCTGAAGGACCAACACCTTACTCTGCAAACAGAAACAAAGAATAATTTATGCAAATGGTGCAAACTGKGCGGTTGTCAAATGTGCTTGAACTTTAAGCTGAGTATTGGTGTCAAAGCATTTTATAACTAATGGTGGCTGCGCTTGAGCACCTCT